AGTGTCTGTTCATATCCTGTGCCCGTTTGCAATTTTACTTTTATCTTGTTGAGGTGCTGGAGTATTCTATAAATTCTAGATATAAGTCCCCTATCAGACATGTCATTACCAAATATTTTTTCCTAATCTGTGGCTTTCCTTTCTACCCAGTTGGAGAAGTTTTTGGATGTGCATAGGGATTTGATTCTTAGAAGGTCCCATTCGTTTATTTTATTCTCTCCTGGTTGTAGGTTTTCCAGGATGCTTGGAAGACTGTTCATGTTGTGGATTAGGGCTTCTAGAGTTCTTTCAAGCTGTTCTCTGATGTTTATAGTCCTTAGTTTTACTCTTAGGTTCTTGATCGACTTTGAGTTGGTTTTTAGTATGGTGTGAGGTGTGGGTCTTGGCTTGAGTTTTCTGCAGATAGTTTTCCAATATTGCCAACACCATTTTGTTAAAGAGGCTTTCGTTTCCCCACTTAACTGATTTCATCTCTTTGTCAAAAATCAGTTGACCATAGGTTGATGAGCTGATTTCTGGTTTCTCAATTCTATTGCATTGATCAATATGTCTGTCATTTGTACCAGTACCACATTTTCTTGATTACCATCTGGGCAGTAGGACTTGAGATCGGGGAGTTAGATACCTCCTATCTTGTTTCTCTTTTTCAAGAGTGCTTTGCTTATTTGGGGTCTCCTTCCATTCCAGATGAAATTTGAAATTGCCTTTTCCATCTTATTGAAGAATGAAATTTGTGTTAGTGTTGGGATTGCATTGAACTTGTAGGTTGCCTTTGGTAGTATTGTCATTTTCACAATATTGAGTCTTCCTGTCCATGAGGAAAGTATATTCTTCCATCTTCCATTTCTCCAGGTCTCTTTTTGTTTCTTGTAATAATGTTTTGTAATTTTCTTTGAACAGGTCTTTTTTTGTTTCTAGTTAGATTACTCTCAAGTATTTAATTTTGTGATTAGCTATTGTGATGGGTATTGTAGCTCCGTTTCTGTATTCTCTTTTTCACTGTAGAGAAATCCACTTTCTTTTCATATGTTGATCTTGTATCGTGCCACTTAGCTGAATTGGTCAACTATGCTCAGTAGTATTCTCACTGAGTCTTTAGGATTTTCTAAGTATACTATCATATCATCTGCATATAGAGACAATGTTTTTAGAAATGTGTTTCCTCCAGCATAACAGTTTATGCAGCTTTATTTATAGATGGGACTGTCAGCTGACTTTGGCCATTTGCCCTGATAAAGTGCACAGATTTTCCAACCATGAGCCACCAGCTGGAATTGCATTGAAGTTTTTACCTCTGTCCTCTTCAGATAATGTCCTCCATCCCCCTATGTCTGTTTTATTTTTCATGTGTGCCCAATTTGCTTTTTTCCTATCTCAAATACTATTCGTTTAAGGCAAACCCTGCACTGATAGGTTTGCTAGACTCTGTCATGTAGAATTGTGGTGTTAGAGTAGAGCATTGAATATCCCATGGACTGCCAAAACAAAACAAAGCAAAACAACCCAACCAGGTATGTCTAGGAGCAAATACAGCCAAAATGCTTGGTTTGTAAGAATGCTGCTAACCCTAAGACTGTGCCTCACTGGTAGTTCAAATCCACCAGTGGCTCTGCGAAGCAGAGATGAACAATGTTCACAACTTGGACAGCTTCTAAATGGCTAGAAGAGAATCACATTAACATCCAAAGCCCTACTGCACATACAGTTACATTCATGTTAAAAAACCCACACAAAACCCAGTAGGCAAACCCATTGCCAAGGAGTTAATTTCCACTTAGTGATCCTATGGCAAAGAGTAGAATTGTAGGATAGAATTTCCGAGGTTTCCATCTTTACAGAAGATATCTCTTCTGTAAAGATATCTCTTCTTATCTCTTTTCCCTTGGAGAGATTGGTGGATTGGAACCATAGATCTTTTGGACAGCAGGTGAATGCTTAGCTGGGAGTTAGGGATTGTTATTTTATTTTTAAGGCAACGGCACTCAATTTAAATGTCAATAATCTTAATTTGTACACTTTAAAAAATACTATATTCCTGTGTATTTAAAAATATCATCATATTGGGAGGGATAGAGAAAAAGTGCAGCAATGAATGAATGGACATCCAAAATCTCGGGAAATGTTCATTAAAATTAATAAAATTAAATTAAAAAATACTGTATTAGAAACACTTTTAGAATGCAGTTATCATACAAAACTGTAGTGTTTAAATCTATAGAATGCTGAGAGATTACTCATGGAAAAAAGTTTCATTTCATTGAATTTTAGTCTGACTGTTAGATGATGTTTCACTTCTGTTGTTAATAGTTGTGTTTGAATTAAGTTGCATGTGAATGTTTGTTGTTGTTGTTATGTGCCATTGAGTCACTTGTGACTCAAAGTGACCCTATGTACAGCATCCCTGAAACCTGCTCTATCCTGTGCCAACCTAATTGACTCTGGGACACCTACCCTTGTTACTCCAGTCACTGAACCAATCCATCTCATTGATGGTCTTCCTCTCTTCCACTGTCCCTCCACCCTTCCAAGCATGTTATCCCTCTCCAAGAAATGGTTCCTCCTTGCAACATAGCCAAAGTATGTCAGACAATGCTTCAGAAAACTTGCTTCCAAGGGGCAGGCTGGTTTCACTCTGTTTAGGATGAATCTGCTTTCCTGGTTCAATACTCTTTTCCAGCACCACAGCTCAAATGCTTCTATTCTCTTTCTGTCGTTTCTAGTCATTGTCCATGTTTCTGACACATAGCACGTAATTGCAAAGACTATGGCCTGAATTAGGTGCACCTTAGTCTCCAGACTGACATCATTGCTTTTTAGTTCTCTGCAAAAGTCCCTTACTGCAGACTTTCTCAAGGCAATTTGTCTTTTGATTTCCTAGGTGCTGGTACCAAGGGTTTTGTGAATGTTTAGAGAGTCTTTATTTTAACTTTATAAGTGCTAGTCTTTTTGTTTGTGGTAGGTTTTCTTTCACAAGAAATATTATAAAATAAATATTTAAAGAAATCTTTTCATCTGTAAATTGATACATACTATGTTTAGGTATTATCATAGTCCATTAATTAGATCTTAAATCATTAAAATACTGAATTCAAGGTCTTCTGTGTGAAATAGATTTAAATTACTTAAAAGATTATAAATATTGCCTATTTACTGGTAATTACTTTGTATGTTGTAGTTTGAAGAAGAACCTGAAAAAGAAAGTGAAGAATTAACAGAGCAATTGAAACTGGTTAAAGATGTTGAAAGTCTCATTGAACAGGTGGGAACCTGGGAAGCAGAAACTCAGTCTGTTTTGGAGCTTCTGAGACCTCAAGATGACGTGGATACATTAGCTGAAGAATCTTTACAGGTATGAGAATAAAAGTATGAAGGGGTAATTTCCATAGTTATGAATTGCATTTCTACCTAAATGAAAGATTTAAAAATAAATAGCAGTAAGTTTTTAATATTCTCAATTGGAAGGTTTGTAAATTGTATTCTATCTGATCTGTGGATGATTTGCTATGATTTTTCTTGAAGGCAGATAGAGGAGAGACCACCAATAACATGAATCTAGGCTCTTGGATGAATATAGTCTCGGCTGTCAAATGAGAATATTTTTTTTAATCAGAGGGCAGTGAGGAAATGAGTGAGTTTAGGTAGTCTCATATATAACGCAGTGCTGTGTGGATATGAGGGATGAGACAATCCCATTTTGAAGCTCTCCTCCTGACAAAGCCATTCTTTCCTACATAATTGATGGAGAGAGCATGACTGATGCTCTTGGAACTCTGTTCATTCACAGCCAGTCAACTAGCTGGCAGCCAGTGAAGCAAGAGGAGTGTGTTTTTAGTATCACTCAGTTTTCCTGGGAAAGAAGTTTAAATGGAGATTTTTTTTTTTACTGAGTGGATTTTTCGTTTCATTTTAGTTTTAAACTTTGGAAGAGTGACTCTCCCTAAGAACTGTAGGACGTGTTTGAAACAGTAACCATTTGATGCTTTGGGTATGCACTTAACTTTTGTACCTCTCAGGACTCATTCCTGATGCATATGCCTACCAGCCTTACTGCTCTGGGTGACTCTGTAGATAAAACCAGGCACAACAGTAGCCTAGGGCTTCCAAGACTTCACTGGCAGTATGACTTTTCTCTATTGATGTGAGCTTTGATGACGTGCTTGAAGTTGTTTTTCTAAGTTGGTTCCTACTCATAAAAACTTTATGTTGGATTTCAGAGACTGTAAAACTTTATTGGGGGAGTGTTCTCATTCTGCTGGTGATTGGTGATTTCAAACTGGTGAGCATCTGGTTACTCACCATGCTACTAGAACTCCTGTCCTTGTTGTTGTTATTGTGTACTGTCAAGTCAGAACCGACCCATAGCTGACTCTCTAGTGGGTTTTCAGAGTTAGTAAATCACCTAGGAGAGATTGCTCATCTTTCTCCCTCAGAGTGGCTAGTGGATTTGAATGCGTATCTTTGTGCTAACAGTGAATTCCTTAACACCAAGACAGCAAAAATCCTTTATTCCTATATATAGTAGACATAAACAAAAATATTTTCAAAATAAATACATAGATAATTAATTGCATCAGTTTTAGGATAAAGATAATGAAAAATATCTTTTTCTTTGAATTCTTTAAGGAAAATGATACCTTTTAATTTTGGTTGAGTTTTTTACATGCTATTTTTAACTTTTATAGTTTTTTAAGAAAATTGTGATGTTAGTGGCAAAGAAGCTGCACTGCAATCCCAGAGGTACATGGTTCAAATCCACCAGGTGCTCTGCTGAAGAAGATGGGGCAATCTCCTGTACCTGTCAGATTCGATTTGATGGTCCACACATAAAAAAATGATAAAAATTTTAAAAAAATTTAAAAAAATTGTGATGTTAATGTCAGTATTCAGTTTAGAATATTTTGAAAAATGCAGAAAGGATGATAAAAATAGCAATCAGCGTACTCCGACAGCCCTAAGATAAGGAATATTAATAATTATGTATTTGATATCATGTGGTATGATTTGTATTTACATCATTTGCTATCAAACAATATTATTCATATTTTAATGTATACATATTTTGGGCATGTTGTTACAAGGGCCCAGTCCTTGGAAAAGGACATATGCTTAGAAAAGTGAAGGGTCAGTGTAGGAGAAGAAAGTCCCCAGTGAGATGGATTGACAGAGTGATTCTAATGCTGGGCTCAGGAATGCAGGAGATGAGGAAGGCACAGGATGGGCGCAAGGTATGGATCCATTATCTGTAAGTTTGCAGTTAGTTGTAGTCTGCTCAATGGCACAGAACAACAACAACGTTCTATGCTTGAGGAAACCCTGGTTGCTTGATGGGAAAGAGTTGTACTGCCTGCTCAAAAGGACTTGATTCTAATCCATTAGCTGCTCTTAGGAAGAAAGAGGAACAGTTTCCTCCCATGCAGTTTACTGGCTTTGAAAACCCATTGAAGGGTCAGCTATGAGTTGGTTCTGACTAAATGATACGTAACAACAACATGCCACTCTGAATTATAAATGTTTTCTAACTATAACTGAGAAAGGATCCCTGGTAGTGCAATGATTATAGTACTAACTTCTGAACAGAAAGATTTAAGAAACTAGTCTGTCTTCAAGAGAAAGATGCCGCAGTCTGATTCAGTAGAGATTTCGTTGAGGATACCATCCGAGAGAGTTCTGCACAGTCCTGTGGGGAGTTAGTAGGAATTTTTTCAGTGGCAGTGGGTTTAGTTTCTTTGGATTGCCACTGAAAACTGGTATCACATTGTTATCTTAACTTTCACTTCTTTAATTTTATGTAAGATTGCTTTGGTTTAGATTCTCATGATTTGCTTCTATAGCTCATTTGTTCTTGCATCTTCCTTAGGATCTTAAATTTTTATTGCATTATAGAAGCTCTTTTTTCTCTCAAATCTACTTTTATTTCTGTAGCCTTTTTATAAATTGCTTGCCTTCTGAATTGCTTATTCTACATTTCATAGAAGAATTTTTTTTTAATTTATCTAGTAGTCATTTCTGTCTTGACTCTTGTATCTAAAAAGGCCTTCTACAAGACCCGCAAAACAGAGATAGTAAGTATCTTTTTTTGGGGGGGGGGTGTGTAAAGTAGTTGTTGTTGTCGTATGTTGTTGAGTCAACTATGACCCATGGCACACTGATGACCATAAGATATGTACCTTGCCCTGTTCTGTGCCATCCTCATAATCTCTGCTGTTTGCAGTCCTTGGTTAGAGACCATATGTCAGTCCATCTTACTGAGAGTCTTCCTCTCTTTTACTGACATGTTACTTTCCCCAGCAAGCTATCTCCTTCCAGGGACTGGCATCTCCTAAGAACATGCTTACGTGAAACGAAGTTTTAACCCCATTTGCCTCTGAGGAACGCACTCTGGTTGCACTTTGTCCAAGACATCTCTATTTGTTCTATTTGCAGTCCATGGGATATTCACTATTATTCTCCAACACAACAGTTCATACACTGATTATTCTTCAGTGGTTAAAAAGAAAGTATTTGTCCTATAGCCATTTTCTCTACTAACAGTTATTGATATTTCTTCCCTACTGATTTGACTTAGAATGTTGTTGTTAAGTGTTGGCAAGTTTCCTGTGACCCATAGTGACCCCTAGGTACAGCAGCTCTGAACCCTGCCCTGTCCTGAGCCAGTCTCACTGATTCTAACAGACTCACGCCCATTGCCCTAGTTACTGTATCAATCCATCTCATCTGGGGTCTTCCTCTCCTGAACTGTTCCTCCACCCTTCCAAGCATGATGATGTCCTTCTCCAAGGACTGGTCTCTCCTGGTCTCCTGGTCTCGTGCCCAAAGGATGTGAGACTGAGTTTATAGCTTTCTTTTATAACTTACTGCTGTTCTTTCAACTTTCTTTCTTTCTTTCTATTGACTCTGTATTCCTTCTAATATTTATTTATTGATGTTCTTACTATCGAACAATATCATTAATATCACATACAAGCAAGATTCTGCTGAAAATTATCCAAAAACATTTGGAAGAATATGTCAACAGAGAACTGCCATATGTGCAGGCTGGACTTAGAAGAGGTTGTGGTACTAGGGGTATTATAGCTAATGTTAGATGGATCTTGGCAGAAAGCAAAGAATACCAGAAGAATGTCTATCTGTGTTTCATTGACTGTGCAAAGGCTTTTGACTGTGTGGATCACAACAAGCTGTGGCTGACTCTGAGAAGAATGGGAATCCCAGAACATTTGATTGTGCTAATGCAAAACCTATACTTGGACCAAGAGGCAGTCGTCAGAACAGAGCAAGGAGACACTACATGGTTCAAAATCAAGAAGGGGGTCTGTCAGGGATGTATTCTGTCTCCTTACCTTTTCAATCTGTATGCAGAACAGATCATCTGAGACGCTGGGCTGAAGCTTCTTCTGACATACTTTGGGCATGTTGCAAGGAGGGACTGGTCCTTGGAGAGGGACATCATGTTTGGCAGAGTGGAGGGGCGGTGAAGGAGAGGAAGACCTTCTATGAGATGGGTCGATTCTGTGACTGGAATGGTGGGAATAAGTGCGTTTGGGATGGCTAGGTTGGCACAGGATAGAACGGTGTACATAGGGTCACTATGAGTCACAAGTGACTCGATGACACATAATAACAACAACAACTATATAAAGGACACTTGGTAAAAGAACACGTTGCCCAGAATGTCATATTAGTATATAAAATTTTTAAAGGAACCCTAAAGATAACATTTCTTAGAATACTAATTTGTCTTCTTTAGGATTAGTAATTAATGTTTCTCTGGCAAAATTGTATAGGTTAGTGTTCAACATATAGTCAGAACGTTCATGATGATCTGGCTTCACTTTATTTTAATAGCATCTTGTTGCCAAAGGATCTATGTATGAGGAGCTTTTGTCTAGAACTGAAGATACTTTACAAATGGATGTGCACAATATATCAAGTCAGGAGTCCCTTCAGTATGTTCTCACAGCTGGACTTCAGGCAAAGATTCAGGATGCCAAGGAGAAAATCCAGGTCTCTCTTTAATTTTTCTTATGTAGTGAATTTACTCTTTAAAACTGGTCACTGGGAGGGTGAGATAGGGTGGAGAGAGCCCACCGATTCCTTGGGAAATGTTTTGTAAAATATTATTTTTTCATTATAACATTTTCTTCATAACATAAAATGTAAATATAGTAAGTGGAATATTCTGTATCTCGTGGCAAAATATGAATTGCTATTGAAAGAAAATATTCTTTCTTATCAGTTTCTTAAGAATTTGGTTTTTTTCCATTTCTTTTTTTATTATTATTATTCATTTTAATGAACATGTACAGAGATTTTGGATTTCCATTCATTCATTGTTGCATTTTCTCCCTGTCCACCCTGCCCTTGCAATTCACTCTTCTCTTTGAAAAGTAAAAGAAAAATTCATTCATTGTTAAACTATCCCTCCCCCCTAGTCCACTTCATTCTGGACTCCTGTCATGATAATAATACCTAATCATATATCACTGTTAAACAGTTCTCTCCCTCTTCTGTTTCAATGCAGTAGATATTATTTATCCCTTCTCTCTCAGTCTTCCTTCAACCCCGATGTCAATCCCATTTTACAACAGTGGCACTATGTAGTATTTGTTCTTTTTTGGGTCAAATGTTGAGAATTCTTTGTCTTTCTAGATCAATGTGATAAAATTGCTTGGAGTGCTGAAGAACTTAACTGATGTGTCACCAGAGTTGGATATAAGGCTGAAGGTAGAAGAATTACGGAAGGAAACTGAATCGAACATGGTTAAAACTGAACAATTACTTAGGCAACGAGGCAGCCATTGTGACCTAATTTCAAAATATAAGGTAGGAATTCTTTGAACGCACAAATGTAAGGTATTTTTCATAGCTGCCTACCTTATTTGGAATTAAGCTCTTTCTATCACAGCAATTATGTAACTAAAGTTGCTTTAACTTTTAAAAATACACCAACTCCATTGTGACTTTGGCAAAAATATATATTCAAATGATTTTCTTTTTGTTTTTTTTCCCTTTAATTTGTGTGTGTGTGTGTGTGTGTGTGTGTGTGTGTGTATATAGATTAAAATGTATGCTCTGGTGAGAGTGGGTTGAAGCTTTAATTCAGTTTTTATTGTAGACCCACTGACTCTACTTTTTTATATAGAATGAAGAACAAGTTGACTATAATGCTGGGGAGGAAATGAATGTTTCTGACTTTTTCATCAGGAAAATGAGCATAATCATTTTAGTGTAGCAACCACATTTGTGGTGAGGCTTTACATGGCAATACCATGTAAAAGTGAAATGCTTTTGTAAAGGTTATTTGTAAACATGATCTTAGTTATTTAGTGCTGCTACTACAAAAAAAACAAAAAAACCCAAACCCAATAAAAACCCAACCCCAAGCAAACCACTGCCTTCCAGTCAATTTTGATTCACGGTAACATTCCACTGAGTTTCTGAGGCTACACCTCTTTATGGAAGGAAACTGCAGTGGAGCGGCAGGTAGTTCCAATGGTTGACCTTCCTTTGGCAGATGTGTTACGCACTCTGCTACCAGAGCCACTGTATCTTTGTGAAGGGGTGACCAAAACCCATTTTGTAGATGACAAAGAGATTTTCATGTAGACCTCAAATGTGTAACTATACTTGAATAGTAACTTTTTTGCATTTCTGTTCATAAACATTTAAGAGATGCAAAAGGAATACCAACAAAGATATAATCCCTTCCCTAACTCCTCAGATAGCCTCCTAAGAGACCCTTCCCAGTTTAACCTACTCTAATTAGCTCTGAGGCTTTGACTGTAGAATAAGATTTTCATGTTTTTCTTTCCTTTTTGTTTTCTTTTTAGGAAGCACTGATAATTTCCAATTCTAAATGCCTTGCCAAGTATTTGAAAGCTGTTGAAGAACTGAAAAATAATGTAACTGACAATATGAGGCTGTCTTTGGAGAGAAAGAGTAGAGATGTCTGTGCAAAGTGGGAGGTAGGAACAGGTCATGTATCTGGGAATGTACAGGTCTGTCCTCGATGTGTCTGCCAGGAGAACCATTCCTGGTGGTGTGTTCATCCCTCCCCGCCTACTTTCTCCCAGAGGAGCTGAGCCTTGCAATTTGGATTCCCATGCTCCCACATCATCTGGCTTCCATTGGAGTTCAGCCAGTGAAAACACTCTTAGGAAATTAGAGAGAGATTCGAGATGGGGATAAAAGGACAAGGTTAAAAATTCCCCTCAGTTTCCCTCTCTGGGGCGAGGATTGTTTCTCTTGTTTCTGTTTTTGTAAGACTTCACTGTCAACATTTCCAGTCCCTGATGGCAGACTCCTCTGCCTGAGCTCCACTAAGACCCTCCTCTGGCCAGGAATGTTAGCAGCCTCTTGCTGCTGCTGATGTTTGAATTGCTTTCCTGTCCTGTTTTTACCATATCTTATATAATCAATTCCCAGCTTTTTATTCTTTCTGTGTTAGATACTTTAGAGTATCTTATTTTCCTGCTTGTGTATGACTGAGACAACATATTGACATACATAGATGTGCAGAAGTTCATAGTGAAATAGCATTCAGCGTCAGATGAACTTGAATTCAGCTATTAAAACAGGACAAGTTACTGAACTTCTAGGAGCCTCACTGATAAAATAAACAGTACACTACCCACATGGCAGGATTGTTCCACAGCAGTCTGCAACCTCACGAGTTACAGAAACACTTAGCATGGATATTATGTTCAGGAAATGGGTATTATCATTAAGTATGTGTGGATGTACATGTGTATTTTAAAAAAGAGTAATGCTATAAATTCCTCTTATTAAGAGTCTTCCTAAAACATATTTAAATAAAGATTTAAAATTTTGAGCGTTTTTAAATTTAGAGTGTATTGCAAAGGTGGTACAGAGAGTTTTGTATTCTTAATACCTCCTTCTGGCAGTCTCCTCCTGTGTGAAATCCAATGCAGGACAGCTATAACTTGGTACTACTTCACAGGAGTGAGCTATAGTAGTCATGGTAGTTGCTATAGTGCATTGGTACAATTCATGCCCTAACACTGGTAAATAGATACTGTTGAAGGTTTTTATGGTGTTCAGATAGTCACCGCTTTCCCCTAATGCACTCTTTCTGCTCCAAGCTCTTCTCCATGATACCATGTTACATTTAATGATCATATCTCCTTAAACACTTCTTCTTAGTTAAAATAATTTCTCTGACTTCCCATGTTTCTGCTGAACTTGACAGATTACAAGTTACAGATTTTGTAGGATGCCTCTCAACCAGGACTGCCCTCCTGTTTTGTTTTGTTGTTGTTGTTGTTTTTATTGATAAAAGAAGAGTCATGATAGTTTGGAGGAAGACCAGAGAGCTAAAATGTTAGTCTCGTCACATCATATCAAGAATAACCCAAACCCACTGCTGTCAAACATTATAGCCACTCTACAGGACAGACTAGAAGTGTCCCACGAAGTTTCTAAGGTTACAAATCTTTATACAAACAGGCAGCCTAATTGTTCTCCCTTGAAATGCCTAGTGGGTTCAAACCACCTACCCTTCAGTTAGTAGACCTTCCCTTAACACTTTGGCACAAGGTTACTGACATCAAGAATGCATGCTTTTAGTATACTTTTTCACTCTTGACAGGTTAGCTTTGATAACCTGACTTGAAGTAGTGTTAATCGGATGTATCCCCTATATAATTGCTGTTTTTTTCCTTTCTCCTTTTCCATATTGTATTCTTGGGAAGAAAATCATTATTTCTAACCTTTACTAACCTTTTATTTTTTAACCTTTACATTTTTTTTCCTTTACTAACCTTTTATTTTTTAACCTTTACATTATTTTCTAACCTTTACATTCTACCTTATTAAGTATGACATCTCTACATAAATTATTTTAAATTCCTCTGTATAGGTTTAGGCATTACATTTGTTTATTCATTCAATCATTCATATCAATGTAGACTCCTGTTCTTTATGTTTTATCTAAGAATCCAGTACTATTATATTATTTGGTAATTAAAATTGTTTTCCTTTGGGCCATTAGAAGCTCTTCTAGTTACTCCAATATCCTCATAATGTATCTCCGTTATTGTGGGTTTTGCTGCTTCTGTTCACTTATTTTAAGTTCTGACTACAAGACACTCCAGGCTCATCTATGTATATTTTTTCCTCAGTCTTAGAATCAGCCATTTCTCCAGGTATCTCTCATCTGTGTTTTTTTGAGAATGGTTGTTAGAAACCAAGATCTGAGTACTCTGAGCTCATCAGTACGATGTCATTACATTTAGGCCCTTTGAACTTAGAGAGTTGGGTTAAAATGTGTGTGTCTGTGTTGCTTGTGAAACCAGAATGTTTTAAAATCATCCTCCCAGAGATGTGAGAATGAATCAGAGCTGCATTCAAACTCTATATCCTGGGTCCCTACAGATCTTTTTAATGAGAACTTTTCAGTGTATTGTATTCCGTGGTTAACATGTGCCATTAATTTTTCACAGTCACTTCATCATGAGCTGTCTTCATACATTCAACAACTGAAAATAGACATTGAAAAAGGAAAACTTAATGAGACTATTTCAAAACTTGAGAAACAAATAAATAAAGAAAGGAAACTGATTCGTCGGGGAAAGACCAAGGGTCTCATCAAGGAACATGAGGTAGAGAATCTGTTTTCTTTTCAAAGTATCATTATTGTGAGTTTATCTTGAATCACCATCTGTGTCCTTAGTCTGGGATCAACTGCTAATGCTTTCTCATCGTCTGGGGATCATCACCGGTGGAGTTCAAGTCTTATCCATAACTTTCTTTTTGAGAAATGAAGAAAAACTCAGTGTTGAGTATTAGTTTATGACTTCCTTTGATGTATCTCAGCTCTTAAAACACTAGCTACAAATGTGTGTTTTTTGAAGTACCCATGGTGGTTTTTGTCAGGACAAAATGCCCCTGGCACTTGTAGCCTTCGTGAGAGTGGATTGGTAGATACAGACCTAAGCAAGTCTGGGTGAATCTATTGTTGTATCCCGTCAAGTTGGAACCGACCCATAGCTGACCCTCCAGCATGTCTTGAGAAGCAGTTAATCTGACTGGAGGAGATTGTCCATCCTTCTCCCAGAGAGCAGCTTGTAGATTCGAACCTTTGAGATTGCAGTGCAGCTTCTTGCCACGTGGCCACCAGAGCTCCCTCAGGATAAATCTGATGATCTCTTTTTGGTACTCATCCTGCTAATTACATTTAAATATTGATAGTTCTGAGGTGTATACAGTGTTTCCCAATAATAAATGGGCACTGCTTTGCAGTGCTTATCAAGACGATATTGCTATGTCTATATTGTTGTTGTTGTTAAGTGCTGTTGAGTCGCAGGTGACTCATAGTGATCCTGTGAAGGAGAGTCCTCAACGCTTGTGTGTCTTTCATCCTCTCTCCAGGTTCATAGGGTTTCCAGAGGCAAGCTATTACGAAAGTGGATGCCTCTCCTGCTTCCAAGCTTGATTTAATCGGGAAGCTCCACCCCACACTTTCCGCTTACTTTTAAAAACAGGCAAATCAACTCCTGATATTTTCCCCTAATTCTACAAATGATAAACTCCAGTAAGGAATTGTTCATAATTATTAGAATATTTATTTACATTAAAAAAACGTGGCTTAGGGAACTCTGGTGGTTTAGTGGTAAGAAGTTGTACTGCCAAATCAAATCCACCATCTACTTTTTGGGAGATAAATGGGCAGCCTTCTCGTATGCAACTTAAAGCCACTGAAACCTCGCTGGAGGGTTAGCAATGGGTGGGATCTGACTTTACACTCATGACTTGTTGTTTTTACAGATGAGGTATAAGTAAGTTTATGATGACCCCATATTAAAATATTAATAATGTCTTAGTGTATCTAGAAGTGCTTCTCCAATATTAAGTATTCATAAAGGTGTACTGTAAACCATATACTAAGACAAACATTTGACTCATTGATGTTAGATATGAAATCCGACCTGTCTGTTCTAACTTATATACAAATTCTACATAGAGGCAAGTTTGAAAATGAAACTTGCTCATTCTGTGACTGCATATAGTTGTGTAACCTTATTTGAAACATGTTCCCGACTTTATTTTTAAATTAGGCTTGCTTTTCTGAGAAGGGCGGTCTGTACCAGCTTGATCACCACGTTGAGGTCCTGCGAGAGCTGTGTGGAGAAGTGACTTCACAGAAGACTCAACAAGAATTGAAGAGAGTACTCAGAGATTATGAACAAAAGATAGAAAGACTTAGAAAATCTGCTTCTGAGATTCATGTGACCCTGCAACCCGTGGTGGGAGGCATGTCCAAACACAAGTTAGTACTTCTTCAGGGCAAAACGGGACATACCTTTTTGCAATACCAAGTGGCATGAGCAGTATTTATTCTCTCTGTGGTTTCTTTTTCTTCCTTCCATTTTAATATGAACTTTTGTTTCCATCCTAGGGAGACTATGATCCCATCTGAGAATGGAGGGAGTGATGCCCACAATCAGGTACCTTTTGCAACATCAAACAGCCAGCCATCAACTAAAAAAGTGGTAGATGTGGCTAGTGTACTTTAGAAGTAAAAGCAATGGAGAAGGCCAAGCATGCAATCATTACTTTCTCCTTAAGTGCTATTTTTAATTATCTCACTGTTTTCATTAATTGAGAATTCCTACATGCAGAATGCAAGTACGACTGCTTTTAAAAAATCAGATTGCAGTGAACCAAAGCTATTGTGAGCTTATGTAGTAATTCTTCTCTCATGATACGAAAGGTTCTTGCAAAATACAGCATTTTGAATCATTATGGACACACATCATTTACATTGTTGATGGTATAAAAGGTCCAGTTTACTGTGTGCTGTTGCCTTAGCTGCACTGAGATTAACAACTCCACGTGTCATTTGTCTTTTTGTTATTACAATGTATTTACCTTCCCTGGACATTGAGACTTCCAGACTCTTAAATTCTTAGTGGCTATTTATGATATTTCATAGCACAAACTGTCAGTCAGAATAGGTGGGAAAAGATTGAGACAATTGCTTACAAGAGCTTGCTTCTCCATTTGGTCAAGGGCAGAAGCAAGATATGGAAGCTGGTACTACTTCACTACTATAAGAAACTAATTGACAGGGGAGAGATGAAATCTAATAAATCCCTCTGTGTTTTGGGAGGGCCTGTCTGTGAGCTGAGAAGCCTCCAACTGTATTATCTTTTGGTTTGGGATATAAAAATAAATTGTATCTTCGTAACATTAATTGTATTTTGTAAATAATGGAATATAATGAATGTGTTTCTTATTTTGCATATTTGCTTAGGCAATGGAACCAATTAAGAAATGCAGCCTGGAACTAGAGGAGGCAAACATTATGGAGAAGTGTGAAAAAGATTACAGTGCATCTATAAATAGTTTAATAGAGAGGTAAATTATTTTAAAGAACTGAAAGAATCTACCAGAACTCTCTCATTAATATAAATATATTACATGTTAGTAAGTTTTTATTATCTTTTAGTGGTGAATTTTGCATGTGGTACAGTCACTTAAAGTATAGTTTTATGGAATTTCCTCAGGTCTAATTATCAGTAACTTTTTTTTTTAAAATATTTTTTTAATTGGGAAAAACATATTGGGGGTACAAGGAGGTGTGAGGGTTGGGGGCGGAAGGGTGAGGATGGGCCAGGATGCAGTTGCAGAGCTGCACAGTTTGGT